AATGAGTAGAAAAGTCTGGCATCAGCAACAAGGTACATGAAAAGCAACAGGACAGCTGAAGCAGCAAGTCAGCCAGATGTTTTCAACAAGGTATACGTACATAACATGCTATAGAGCTCACCCAAACATCTCACTCTGAGGAGCCATCGCTCAATTTTACTTTATATTTTTACAAAAATACAATTTTATATATATTCCCTATCACAGTGTCTAGAACACACAAGTAATATATGCTTGTTGAATGATCAACTAGATATACAGATGGTTGAGTGAACAACCAACCAACAAATAGGTAGAAGGAAAAAGAACAAGTATTCAAAAAAAAGTTTTCAAATATTAGATACTGGAGAAAATTTGTTGCTTCTCCATTTTAAAAGGCTAATGTAATTAGGGGGAAATGTGTGAGAAGTACCAGGACAGAGTGGAAAGAAGACAAGATTTGGACTCAGAAAGACCTAGATTAAAATCCTGGCTCAGCTCTTACTGGTTTGCGTCCTTGAGCAAATTGCTTAATTTATTTAAGTCTTCCTTTCCTCCACCTGTAAAATGGGAATTACAACATCTACCTTACAAACACAGAATACCATCAATTTTGGCACCAGGAACGAACTATACAAAACCAGCTCTCAAATCAACTTTGTAATTCATAATGTAGCCCACAGATGGGTGTTACTAACAATGCTCACCATCTGGTAGCTTCCTGTTTTAAATAATTATTCTTGCTAACTAGGTGCCAGGCTTGTAGAATCATTATATTAAATGTTTGCACCCTGTAAATTTTGGTGTCCTTAGACAAAGGCCAGTATGACCAGCCATAGTTCAGCTTATGGGGTTGTTCTGAAGATTAAAAATAACATAAGAAAAACACCTTTGTACAGTAAAAGGCACGTCATACATAATTAATTGTTGTTATTTAAACACTTCATTAATACCTTTATGTAATCCATTTGTCACTCTAAATTATCACAACTATTCCAATAAGCCCACATTCAGAATACAGATTAATCATATCAGCTACTTCCAGTAACATATAAGCAAGACAGATTTGAAAAGATGATATGTACTGCAACGTTATCTTCAAAGATTCAAGGATTCCTTTGACCTTGACTTTTGGATTTTCTCTTAAGTCCATAAAGACTGATGATTAAGAAGACTAGACGGTACCTTCTTTATTTCAAGAGCCATTTCCAGACTAAGGGAATAAGGGAACTGTCAGGTTCAAAAAAAAGAATTCAAAGTTACCACTATCGGGGTATGCTTTTTCTCTGCTGGATGGGCAAATAAAACTGCTGCTATTGCAGTCTGCATCTAGTCTCAGCTGTGCAAACACCAGTTAAGTAAGAAAAACATTAAGCCTTCTTTATCAGATCTACTAACAACCAGATAAACTCCTTTAGGATGAATAGTTTAGTAGTGAAATACCAAAATCTGCCAGCCCATAAGAATCTCTGTTATAAAGCACTCCTACTTAGCTCTGAAAGATTATTTTCTCTGGATTATCAGATATCCAGAAATAATTATTTTATTATAAAGCATGCCAATCCAAACCAAGGTCACAAGAACAACTGTTATAAAAAGAATCAAATTTAAATGATTTATACATCTTACTGATTATAGTATTTCAATAACATTTCTGTCACACTGGAACAAACTTTCCCCAAAGAAGTATCTCGTCTGGGCATAAACATGAAATCAAGTTCACAAAGCTAGAGCCCCCAATTTTCCCCACAGATTAAAGGATAATGTCCATGTGTCTGATAGGTGGCAACTGGTTTACTTTTAATAGAATCCATGGACTATAAGAACTGACTACATTTGACATTCATATGCATAACCATGA